GAGAACAAGAGCATTTCCTTCCAAAGTATGAAGATGAACTGTCTAGCAACATTCTACTTTTGGTGTATTCAATCTGTACCTAAGGATATAGGGGACATCACTCTGTTTTTAGATAGTCTATAATGGATATAGGTGATAGATTTGTTTTGGATGTTCCTTCATATTTTGATGTAACTACTTAGGAGCACACTATTGGTGTACTTCCTTCTGTTTATAATACCAGTTAACTTTCTCAAAAAAAAAAAATATGGCTGACTCTCACAAAAATAGAATCTATCCATATCACAAGACTGTTACAATTAGGAGCCTTAGTTCCAGAAAAAATCTCAGACTTGTAAAGTTCATCCACTAATCACAAGATATATATGCTATATCTACTACAATCCGAACAATATCACAATCACTAAGTAATAAGATGAGACCTTGAAAGTTTCTAGTATTTTAAGTATGAGAGGGTTGAAAGAAGGGGGCCACATGTTAGATCCTGACACACTAAAATGTTAGAGGGATTAAGAGAAAGCAATAGAATTTTGTCTATAGAAGTAATATACATAAACAATATCATAACCATGTTATCATATTAAATAATAAAATATTAAAGAATATCATAACCGAAATCACCCATTCATAGAACAATTACAACAATATCTATTAAGTTCTATCAAAACAGACATCTACTGAACGATTTACATCTAATGAAAACCAATGTTGTCAAAGGCTCATTTTAGGCGCACTTAATCCCTGAAGCTCAGAAAAGCTCCAGGAGGGCGCTTCGTCTCACTTAAGGGTGCTTCTCTATAGGCAAGGCACTAAGGCAAGCACCACATTGCCCATGAATTCTATCTTGAACCGGGCAGTACTAAATGATAATTTTAATCAGCAAAGAGATGTATTAATTGTTAGGGAAAACATTATGAATGACTTTGTTCCTTATTTCTTGCATTACAGATCTAATTTTTTCCTTCATTGCACCTTTTTTAACTAAAGCCCATCCTTTATAATTGTGCTTTGCGCTTAAAGCACATAGACCTGGAGCTCGTTTTAAAGAGCTTCAATAAAACCTATACTGTCAGAGTATCACCTACAATGACCAACACTCACTTTTGAAGCATCCAGAACCATCAAAACAATGTCTGATGACTTGGAAACAGCAATGACCTGTCATCAAAGAGAAATTCTTCAGAGGCTTTCATCATCAAGATCATGAACTTCAGGAACTATATTTTATCCATTCTTTGCCAAATTGCTAAATTAGTATCAACAATTACCTGCCTACCACGCCCCTTGCCTTCTGATGCACCCTCAATGATACCCGGAAGATCAAGCAATTGAATTTTGGTATCATTGTAGTGTATAATACCAGGAATGCAAGTAAGTGTAGTGAACTCATATGATGCAGCTTCAGAATGTGTTCCAGTCAGCATCGTTAGTAGTGTTGACTTTCCAACACTGTAAAGACAAACCAAAGTTTTTAGGGGACCAAGAGTTGCAGCTAACATAACTGAAAAATGAAATTCTTGTAGACACCCAAAGGGAAAAGGCAAATACACAGTAGCAAGTCAACACTGAGAACAACTTTTTTCCATAATTATCAGATCAGCTGTAGTTAAATGTCCTGAGTTAGATTCCCATCTTTGGCCTCGCCAAAAGAAATCTCACATAACAGATCTTCAGAATTTTAGGCTATTAACTCAAATTATTTCACAAGTATGGGTAAGGCTGCGTACACACCACCCTCCCCAGACCCCAATTGTGGGATTTCACTGGGTATGTTGTTGTTGTTTTTAGGGTAGAAATCAGATGATGTAGAAGATCAGCAAAAGCCAAAAAGTGATTAAATTCCATATCTAGCACACAATGCTTCAAAAATATTCTACTTTGTAAAATTAACCCGTACAGACTTATATCTTTTTTTCACTTCTGATGAAATTAATGACATCTAAAACCAAGAGAGGAGATGTCAAACCTTGGAAATCCTATTAGTGCAACACGTCCATGGCCATACTTTGTGACTTCAAACCCCTCTCCAGCTCCACTGGAACCCTGTTGCATCAGCATAATCAGAAGGTTATTATTATCTCTCTATCAAAAGAAGAAAAAAAGACAGATAGGAGAAAGCCGGTTTCAAGTGAACGTGAACTTATATATCATGAAATCTAGAGGAAACTTAAGTTCATGGAGAATTCACTGCACCAATTAACAGTCCAAAACACAAAAATTGCATACTTTAGGGGGCTCCAGCAGTTGTGTCCTCAGCTTTGCTATCTTAGCCTTCAGCTGACCAAGATGATACTCTGCACATCCAAGGTACAGTACATCACTAAGCTTCTGAGGAAATTTGGGGAAAAGGTTGACATACAGACAGGTTTATTCATCACAGATACAAGATATAAATAAAATTTACCACGTTCATTTGTATGTGAGAGGATACATGGAGTAAGCCTGCACCTCATAACACAAAATACATGTACAGAGGAATGAATCATCACGAGCGACTACGAAGCTCTAAAATAATTGCTGTCAAATTAATATCATCCCATTCCCCATAAGGGATGTTCTTATTCTTGCAAGATCCATGTAAAGTTCATACTTCTAGCACAAGTGCTTTTGAATTTCAACTATCCAATAGTGCTCCCACAAGAGGTTAGTCTCCTTTGGTTGACTAAGAAACTCTAAGTTTTAGCTCTAGCTTTGCCAACCAGATCCTTTAGAGACTCCTGAGGGTTTATGTCGATTCATCTGCATGATTACTGTTTAGAGAAGATAGATTAAATTAACTAAAATAGTTCATCATGGTCACACATTATGGTGGTTGTGGTTCAACCATAAGCATTTCCAGCAGAGCTCAAATCCTTTGATAAGAGCTTCCGATAATATTTTGAGTTCTCGTGCCTGTCCTAATAGTCAAAATAAGGTCATTTTAATGCTTTTTGGGGTGTCACTATAAATTATTAAATTTGAGTTAGGTTTACTGTAGAAGTATGTATGTAATGATTGAGTTAATTATGATGCGCTGACATGCATTTGGGAGGGGGGGGGGGAGAAGTCCATAGACCACAAAGATAACATTTACTTGGCATATGATATGAGGCATGAAAGAAAGCACAGTCATCAAATAATAATAAAAAGTTGTAGAAGCCATTACTGACCAAGTACAAACATCAATATTCCACACATATTTCTCTCTTTCTATTAATTTAAAGACAGTAACAAGAGTTGCTCCTCCAGGCAGCAGATCGCTTTAACAAGGTTCCAGGAGGACTCAGGAGAAAAAGAAAAGGTAATGTATCTGTTGACAAGGTTATGCTTAATAGTAACGTGAATGGCACTTCAAATAATGATGGTGGAAACACAACTGTCAAAAAGGCTTTAGTAAACAGTTACCAGTTGCTTTATTCTTTTGTGTACGAGCCATCTCAGCTTCTATTTCTTTAATCCTTTCTACGATCCCCATGGTTCCTTAGTTTTCCTGCATTGAGAAACAAAGAAAGATAAGATATAGTCAAGAAACTGTATCATTAACAATGAGATACTCACAAAAGTATCAACCAGAAAAAAAAAATGAAAATCATGTTTGCCCTCAAAAGACACATAAGCAAAAAGGAGGGAGCAGCTTCCAGCTAGAGTCAAAGATACCGAGCTATATTGTCTTCATCAAAAAAAAAAAAAAAAAAAGATACCATGCTATACTGTAAGTTTAAATAATTCACATGGACCTTCTATTTAACAAGTATTGGATGATGAAAATTTAATAGCTGATGCAATCAACTTCACATGCTTGGACTTGTGGCCCTTCTATTATAATTTCTTTTCCCAGAGAAATATTCAGCAAATTGGTCTGTAATACTAAAGGTAGATACTATACTATAACAACTTTGTAAGCCATTATCACATGACAAACAAATCAATCAATCAAGAGTCTACACCTCAATCCCAAAATAGTCGGGATCAACTATATCAATCCTCTATTCCTTGCAAAAATCACAAGTAATATGATGAATCCAAGTTGAATCTTTTCACTACCAATCAACCAATAGATAGTCTATTTGCTCAATCACAAACCAATTGTGATCCATATGAATCATATGATCCTCTGTTATCACATACGAAACAAACTCTGGAAATTAACTTGTAAACATCAAAACAACTACGAGAAATCATAGTTGAAACTAATCACACATAAATCCATTCAGAGTAAAATTCTGATAATCAAATAGAACTAATGATTTTTCAATTAAGGGGCAATATTCAGAATGCAGCATATCATGCATTTGACACTGTTGTTAATGTGAAAAATCAAAGCGTCAATCAGAGAATTACGAGCTAATTTAGGATTCGAATCATTTGCAAGGTTAAAACACTACAAGAGCTAATTTTAATCGTAGCTATCGGCGTATACCTGAACGACGAGAAGATATTGTAAACACCGGCGACCGTACCGGCGACTATATGCGGCGGCTCGTGTGTAAGTAGAAGATAGTGTATGCACTCAAGTCTCGACTAGAAGAAGGGAGAAACAAGGGTGGTGCAAATAAGGTGGGATCAAAATGAAAAGTTCTTCAAACTTAGAGGACCTGAGTTTAAATTTTAATTTTATACACTAATATTTAGATAATTACACTTTGATTTCTTATTCTTCAATTTTGTTACTATTTGGTTTTTTCCAATATTTGACTATAATATTATTTCAGTAGTAGTTAATTTTTTCACAATATATATTTCATGCAATAATGTAAATAGATAAAAAAAATATATATATGTGTTAATGAGCGGCTATTAATAATATATTGTTGATGTAACTATCTATTAACAAAGACGGAGCCAAAAAATTTAGTGTATATGTTCATAATTTTTTGTTTATTGAGTTCTGAATAGATTTAACACAATTATAAAATTTAAGTTAACTAAAATAAATTTTATATCAAATTTACAGCGAACACACTTTTCATACCTCACTTATAAAATTACGCTACTATCTTCTTGTCATAAAATCACTTGTAGTAATTTATGCTTGACATAACAGAAACCAACCGTTTGTGGAGTCCATGGGGAGTTTATCTGTTTGTGTGAATCAACCTTCAAAATTCTTGTGTTTCTCTCCATGTCCACAATTGTGGGGCAGAAATTGGAATTGGAAGAGTAATAAGCGTTCTCTCACTTGCTTTTCTTCTCAGAAGAAAATAGGTTTTATGGACCAAATTCTAGATTACATTGAAGGTTTGATTTCACTTCTTTACTTCAATTTATTGTTAATTGAGTGTTATCCTTTAGATATTCATTTTGAATGATTCATTTCAGATAGCAGTTTAATTTGTGCTTTGACAAAATTGGGGAAATTCGATACTGAAACTTTTAATTTTGTATGCTTTGACAATTAACATTGCGGGAAGTAGAGCTTGAGCTACCTCTCAATTTTCAATCAGAAGTAGTTGTTGTTCAGTAGTTAATTGGGTATCTGAATGTTGCAATTTAAATGGGGATACATGGATAGTCGTCAATATTCATATAGCCGACCCCAACTTGTTTGGGATTGAATAAAAGTAGCTCATATATACCGCTAACGTTAGATAAGAAGGTATTTATGAGCAACTTTTGTAACAGTAGGGGTATATGTAAGTCATTTTTATAATGGTAAGGGTATAGGTGTGCTATTTTTGTAACGAGAATATATGAGCTCTAAATGACAAAGTAAGTTGAAACGTATATCAGACCCTTTTCCCTTGTTTTATTAAGAGCCAAGGAGGGCTAAGGCTGAATTTAATTGATTCTTCTGCCAAATGCTATAGTAATGCTGATAGATAACATAGGAACAGTTTACGTTAAACTGGAGATAGCCAGGTAGAAATTCAAGATGATTGCATATGCCTCTATGGTCCAGCATATAATAAATCTAAAGAGATATATGACGAGGTGAACCTAGTCCTTTTAAATCCTGGATCTGCCTCTAGCTGCGATAGCTCTATGTTTTCCGTGAGAAATATGAATGACAAACAGGAAATTCTCTGGTTTGAACTTTGATTGACATGTTTTAGTGTAAAATTCTTCCAATTTAGGATTTATATAACTCTCATTTTCCATATTAAGTACTCCCTCTGTCCCTAATTAGTTGTCCACTTTTCCTTTTATAGTTGTCTCTAATTACTTGTCTATTTTGACAAATCAAGAAAGGACCAAATAATTTTACCTATTATACCCTCAATTAATTAATAGAATATAATTAATAGGGGTAAAATGATAAACTCTCTATGTCAATAATTGTTTTCTTAATAGATATGTCAATTCAAAAGTGGACAAGTAATAAGGGACAGAGGGAGTATAAATTTAATCTTTCTTTAATTTCCTTAAGGATTCAGTGCACCAGTACATTTGGTGCACTGCAAAACGTCTGGGGCAAGGCTCCTTTGCATTATATATCAATTGATAATGCTGTGTTCTCTGACTTCTGCATTATATATGACATTGCATGTCCAAACGCCTACTTAGTATCTCTACAGGCTGATGATGGCAACTCGTAGTTTCATTTAACGGTTTTTGCTCTAGCCTCTGAGGTTGTAAATATCATTGGTATCATAAACAGTCATGATTTCAATGAGAAAATCTTTAAACTTGTTAGGCCCTAAAATGATGAAAAGACGTCATTAAATGAAAAGAGAAACAGAAAAGGGCTAACACCTAAAACGTAAATGCTTATTACGTCAATCTTTCCTACTAAAATTATGTGATATGATGTATTCTAACGCATCTCAATTCTCAAAGAATGCTGATCAAACAACATCTCCTTAATCATTGACATTTTCATCCATGTACGCCATTGATTTCAGGCGGTCCAAAGTTAAGGAAATGGTATGGGGCACCCGAGCTCCTCCCAAAAGATGGATCCCTTTCAGAAGAAGATATGTCTTCGGGTAGCTGAATTTAGTAATTATTTTGCATGTGATTTCTTCTCTAAAATATCATATCAACAATGTGTTCCTTTTTTCTCACAAACAGAAGAAGATGAAGTCAGGGATGCAGTTTTAGTTACCGATGGAGATAATGAGATTGGTCAGGTTCGTATATGGTAGCATCGGATATCTTGCACTAGAATCTTTATGCCTTCTTGTTTACAATATGTGCATGTGCGAGCAGGGGGAGGAATTTTTCTTACGTCATCTAAGTTCAACTGAAATGATTTAGTCATAGCCCAGTTTTCCTTAACTATGCCCTACCTCAATGATTCAGTATATAGCTCAATCTTTAATCCGTCTCATCCTTTGTCAACTTCACCTATACATGATCTTGGACAGATGATTATATTGTCTTTGATAATCAAAAGAACTCGGATCAAAGCTCTGGTAAAGGATAAGCGGGTTGCAATGGAAGCATTTGGTACTTATGTTGAGGTTGGTGGCATTTTTATAAGGTTTTTTTAGTATCATACACTTGGTAGTATTTTAATACTTAATGTTCCTAAGCTGCTATGAAGCCAATAGCAGGTGATGCAAGGGACAGATCATTGCTAAAGAAGGCTCTAAGTGGTGTTCGTGCAGTGATATGCCCAAATGTATGCTCGTTCTTATCATCATTCTCCGGTATCATTTTTTTACTATGATCCCCAACAAAACACTTACAAAGAAACATTAACGAGTAGCATTACATCTGTGTATGAATCTATACTACATCTGTTTTGGATTTATCGTGTAATCTTGCTGCATCTAATTATTTTTTCCGTAGCTTATTTAGGCACTTTCTTTTCTATGTGCACAATTATTTGTTAAGAAGTTCTCTTACACTTGAGCTGCAATTTGTAGGAAGGTTTTATATCAAATTTAGAGAGTTGGAAAGGTTTACAACATGTAATCCTATTATCTCAGGTAGTCCTCTCTCGTACATGTATAGGCAATGGCAGTTTTTGAACGGTTTATGTTTTGATTTTATGATATGATGACATTGCAGCTGTCTGTTTATAGAGGTTCTAGCGGGGTTCAAGCAATTGTTACTGCCAATGCAAGAAAACAAGCAGAACAAGATGAATCACTGGTTATGGCTTCGGGAATCCCTTACACCATTATCAGAACTGGCTTGTTGATAAATGCACCAGGTGGAAATCAAGGTTTCAACTTTAAAGAGGTAATCCTTATATGTATAGCTTCTTTATTAGGTAGATGGTGTGGAAATCACAATCTGTTTACTGCTCTTTTGTCACTTGGCAATTTGGAAATGTCATTGGCTGTATCCAAACGAGCATAACGTCATACAACTATGTTTCCCTAGGTTGAAACCACCAGAAAATGAACTATAAGGTGTTCCTTTTGTGCAAAATAAATCAAAATTATTCACAAATCAAATAGAAAACGACTGTACCAGATTGTCATTGTTCATATTGAGCAAATTCCTTACCGTTGCTACTCAACACGGTAGTTGTCCACTAAAGTTTTAGTTTTTACATTTCGTTCAAACACAAAGTAATGTGCCCAAGACGGACCCATTGACTTGATATACAGATGATGGTCTAATAGCTAGCTATTGTTTTGTTGATGATTCCTAAATATCCGAACTTTCCAGTTACCACCATTCCGATCATTGCGTTAAGATTTGAAAATGTCTTCCGTTCTGGCATTAGAGCAAATTAGAATAGAATAGTGGAATCTTTATCAAGATTGGATCAGAAATTCCTCACATGAAATTTATGACAAAATATGTTTTTCGGTGATTGGTTTCCTATGTTTTTAAGCAATTTGGCTTGCTACTTGTCATTCACTTAAAATCATTTGCAAGAAAGTTAGTTTTGTAAAATTAGCTGGTTCTATGATCTTCATGCCAGGGCTGTGCATCACAAGGAAAGCTGAGCAAGGAGGATGCCGCTTTCATCTGTGTAGAGGCTCTTGAGACTTTGCCACAGAAAGGACTGATATTCGAGGTTTGTTCCTCGATTGGCCTTTAATTTTCTAAGATTTATAGTTGCCCAGAAATGACGATACAAGAATATATGAACTTGAAAGCTACAAAGAAGTCTTCCTACATATGAATGTTCTGTTAAAGGTCTTCTGGACTGATATAAGCTGATGCCAATGTGGCTAACAGAAAGCATCAATAGTTGATTACTTCTGTTGGACAAAGAACTAGTCAATCTGCAGTGGTGCCTGTTTGGAACTTTTCAAGGTCAAAATCAAACATTTTTTGTATCACGTATCTATTCCGATAAGAAGTAACCAATATCTTTAGTTTCTGCTTCAAATCTCATAGAGGTGAACTTGAGCATAATGAAACATTTTCCAGCAGTTGTATCAGCTTTCTTGTTGTGAATGCAATTGTGCTGTTCTTTTGGTTGTTGTTAAAAAGCTAACAAGTTTAAATCTGTCGAATAACAGGTGGTCAATGGTGAGGACAAGGTCATGGATTGGAAAGAGTGGTTTGCAACTTTGATAGATAAATCACAAGTGTAATTTCTTTGGATCCATAATTGGTGTATACATCAACAGTGTGAGAGAATTTCACCATGATATAATTAAGCTAAAAGCTTTAATCACAATGCAAATTGCTTATTTTCAGTATGTAATTGTGCTAAAAGAAAAGCATCTTGACAAGTTTGTAAACTACTTTAAAAGAAGAAAAGATTGTATCTGATGGTAACATGCAGAATACAGTAATGCAGTTTTTAATGTGATTCCAGAAAAGGCATGGCAACAATTGTATACTAAGCACCACCCCCTGAGGTTTCAACGAGTCCAGACACCAGAATTTTGGAAATAACAGAGAAACAAATTCATGATACAACGAGGAGTTACAAAGACGAGAACAAAGGACAAAAGTATATACGCTCTTCTATTTCAAGTAAAACTGGGAAGGATAACTCAAACGAAGTAAAACTGGGAAGGATAACTCAAACGAGAAACTATGAGTGGGGCTCTATGTCTAGTTTCTTCGCGCCCACTCAAGCATCTAAAGACAGAACAAGTAACTCTGCTGTAACAAACACACAAGGAGAAGATTACAACTTGCTAATCATGAATTTGAATCCAATTGCAGAAGCAGATAGAAAGATAACAAAGGAACACATGACCAGATAGGATTTATTTTCAAAATGTTATAGCTTATAGCCTCGGTATATATCCATCCCGTTCTACTCAAACCTATCTTAAAGAGAGCAGGTTAACTTATAAACAATCAACGGAGAAAGTTGAACTTCAATACGGTCAATTCAGCTGGACCTAATTCTCTTCTGACCGTCTCTTTGATCTGATTGATTAGCATTGTTTGATTCACCCTCGGAGAAAGCCTCCATAGATGTGGTGACAGAACTGGAGAGATCAGCATAGAGATCAACTACTCTTCTAATATTGTTATTTAGCTCTCTAATTAGACCAACATTTCGAGTCAAGTTATCTGGGATTGTTGACTCGTGGTTCTGGTTGATCTCGTTGATTAACAACCTGTTTTGATCCAAAATGTTCTGTACTTGCACAAAATTCTTTTGCAATGTCTGAACTACTTTGCGGTCAACTTGAATTCCATTACCAGTACAAGAGAATACAACATCTTCCATCTCAGTTACCACAGAATAAAATCAGAAACGGCTATCAAATACTGCATATAGAAACATAAAGTTGCCTTAGATCAACAAGTCGTTAAAATCATAAGCAAGAAGGCACAAGTTTTTCATAAAATTAAACAACTAAAAAACCTTTGAATTTTTGTGTAGTTAATGGTAAAAAACACACATGAACTATCACTATTTCGAGAGTTTCACAACTCAACTATTAGTCGTTCCCTTTTCCTACCTGAACTATCACCATCTATTCACTTAGGTATGTTCTAATACATAGATGATAATACTTCAGGCAGAACAACGAAACAGATGATAATCGGGGTGTGGAACTCCCGGAAAAAGTGATAGTTCAGTGTTTACAACCATTATCTCATTTTTGTGTCATAAGGATATTGTAGTTGCCAATCTAGCAAGCTTCAATACCAAATTAGTTTGGGTAATTAGGTCCATTTCATGTACAACACTATTATATAGTGTGCGCGATTATGTGGATAAGTTCCAAGAAATTCAATATTTAAAGATCCATACAACAACAACATGCTCAATGTAATCCCACAAAGTGGTGTATGGGGAGGATAGAGTGCACCCCGACCTTACCCCCTACCTTGGAGGTAGAAAGGCTATTTCTGTCTTCTGATTGACTCTCAGCTCAAGGAAAAACAATTCAAAGCAGCTCAAATAAAGAAATAATGATAGTGAAGAAGTCATTGCAAAATCCTATAGCAAACACAACGAAACATTCTATAAACACTAACTACAACAAAATATAAGACAATAATCGAAATATAAAAAACAACATATAGTATTAACATAAATTGAAGGGCAAGAAACTACAACAAAACTCATCTAGACTATCAATTTATCGCAATCCTTCTCTAAAGAGACTCTATAACACTAAATGATTTCTTCTCATCTGTTCTAACCTTGGTATACAGAGTAACAATACTAGTACAAGGTGACATGTATTCTGTGAAACTACAAACAAAGTGCACGCAAGTTGATCCAAACACCACAGTTATCCAAACAAAAAAAAAAAACTCAATCTAGGGCTAAGAATCCATTTTTTATGTATAGAAAGAATTTGAACATCAAACAATTGAAAACATTAAGGCAATGGAATGGAACAAAACCTTATCCAAAATTCCTACAAGAAAAGCCTAATTCAATACTTATGTAAACAACAAGATAACCATAGACTTCAAAATTTTGATTTTACCCATGTAATAAAAGCAGAAATCAAAGAATTAGAGATTTATAGAATAAATAAACTCTTGTAAAACTCTCAGAAACATTTTTGCTAAGAATAGTTTAAGGAGGAGAGGATTACCTTAAAATTGTGGAACATATGAGAAATCCCAAATCATGACCGGACGATGAAAGACTTCGATTGTCTCAATCGTTTACTTAAATACAGGTATTTCATATGAGGAAAAAATGGATAAATAATTACTTGCTACTTTTTTCTTTTCTTTTTTAATTTGATATCAGCTATCCACACTAGAGTCCGACAAAATAAGGATTCGTACAAAAAAAAAAATCCCATATTAGAGGCAAATAAATACTTTTTTGTCCTTTTTCACTTGTTCAATTTTGATTTTTTTATTAGTTCATTTTTACTTGTCATCTTTGACAAATCAATTAAAGATAATATTTTTTTTACCTGTTATATCCTTAATTTATCTAGAGAATTAATGTTTTTGAAAATGGTAGAGTCTCTTTAATGAGTAAATTCATTTTGAAATTCTATCAATTAATAGGGGTAAAACAGTAAAATTACTATATCAATTATTATTTTCTTAATAGATGTGTCAAGTCAAAAATAGATAAGTGAATAGGGACAGAGGGAGTACTTACGAATTGATGTGTTTGGTTAAAAATTGATAATAGTAAATAATTTATTTTAATGTACTTTCGCAATTCATTTTTACTTATCACTTATTCTTCAAAGAGATTTTCATTTTTACTTGTCATTTTTGACAGATTAAGAAAAGACAATAATTTTTTCATGTTTTACTTTTATATTAAATACTCACTCCATTTCAAAATAATTGAATTATTGGAGGTGTTTCACACCTTTTATGAAAAGAAGATTATGACATAACTTAGACACTACTTTCCATTTTTACCTTTATTAATTATTAGCAAATTAATCTTTAAAATTATTCAAAGCAATTAAAGTTTCTTAAACTCATCACATAGAAAATTCAAATGAGGGGTAAAAAATGGAAGAATGTTCTAAAAATAGTCTTGAAAATAGAACAATTAAGTTAATTTGAAATATAAAAAATGTCTGAACAATTCAATTATTTTGAAACGGAGAGAGTATTATTTTCCACATCATTTTTCAAGACTCAATACTAAACATTAATTAAGATAATATGGTAAAATATCTATAACAATAATTGTTTTCTTAATGGGTGTGTAAAAGTGAACGGAGACAGTATTTCATAACTATAATATTATTAAAAACAAATTGTGAAAAAATATTATAATTTAAAGGTTTTTGGGTAAGAAAAGGAGGAACGACTAATACGGTGTGAACAGGAATTTAGGAGTTTAGTTGTTGCAAGGAAAGCTTGAATTTTTATTTATTTATTTTTAAAAAAAAAAGAGAATTAAAGAATAAAACATTTGGTCAAACTAAAAGTTTTTATAAGTTGAAAAATTATAAGTAAGAATGACTACATTATTGTTTTTGACTTATTAACACTTTTCAATCTGCCAAACATATAAATAAACTAAAAAATGTTTATAAATTAGTTTGACTAACTTCTAAGTTTAATCAAATACTTAACCACTTTTCTCTTTGTATGCCATAATCAGTACCCACTTTAGTGTAACATTTAAAAAAAAATGGTCAAAAGTATTTTTAAATTATGTAAAATTGAAATAAAATGACTTACGTTAATTGTTTGGTTATTACTTTTGATTTAAAATGTCTTTTTTCTAATAAATATATTTGTTGTGTTTTTATTACAAGACAAGAGGTTTTAGAATTATATTTTATTACAAATATAGATTGTGATGTAGTATTGAAACTGATCTATCCTTAACTGGAAGTCTTAATTTCGAACCTTAAATATGGAGAAAATCATATTTAGAACACTAATATTAGAAAAAAGACATTTTAAAGAGGTGAAGAAAGTTCATGAATCTCTACAAATTTTCTTTAGTTTTTCTAGAGTACTTAACAAGCAAGTTTACAAATTTTCATTAGTTTTTCAAGAGTGCTTAACAAGCAAGTTTTGAGAGAAAAGCTCCAAATAAGACAACTATTTTGATTTGGGGTTGTTGCATATGAGTTGAAACCTTTTTACTAACAACTAATTAAATAATCATTAGTAAATCTATGAATATCCATTATTAGTAAAAATCGAAACTTGATTTACCTATTATCAAATTATCAAACTCAAAATTTAAACATTCAATATTTACAATCTATTTAACTACTTATCGAATTAGCGAATCCAAAATTAAAAAAATTCTAATCGAATACCAAACATTAACCGTTAATTTTACCGATTTAGCCCATATTTTGTGTATACGCGTGCACTTTTAATTATATATTATTATACAAGATTGATCCATTATGTAGAGTGTTTTCCCCGATTATAATTTTATATAATATATTGCAATATTATGTTATGTGGCGTAATATCTTAGATTGATCTGTATTTCTTTGAAATTTTCTTTATAAATCGCATCTAAATGCTTTTTATGCACATTTGTAGAATGTCATTCTAGTTACATTTAGAAATAAGTTCTGACAATGAGACTAAAGAATTATTTTTTTAATCATTTTAATGGAAAGTACTTTTTTTTAAAAAATATTTCAAATAACTTGATCAATTAACGGGTACCCAATAAAATAGTTAGGATACCCATAAGTATGCCTGAACATCATCATGGTTATAAAAAAAACGTTATTGTCTTATTTTAAATTTAGTTCAGATCAATAGTATAGAAATATATCTTAAAATTCCTTCCGTTGTTGTATATTCCGAAGATTTCAAAGGCTTAATTAAGTGAGATAATATTTCAGATGGTCACCCAACTTATGTTATAGTTCATTAAGAAAGTCATTTAATTTTATTTTATGATTTAAAAGTCATTCAATTTAGGATAATTCACTGTCAATCAATTTTAATTTATAATTCAAAAACCATTCAACTATTGATGTCTCACTTATAAGTCACCTAACCATATTTCATTAAATTTTGTTAAATGAAAACTTTGTCTCAAGCTAAAATCTTAAGAAATAATATGATACCCGTTTCTTTTTCTTTTTTTTCTATTTTTATTTTTTGTAATATTCTATTTATTTGTTTTGACTTTTATTGAAATATTTTGAAGTGCTATGTGAACAAAAGTTTTTTATGTATATCTTATTTGAATAGTGAGTAGTCAAATGGCAGAATTACGCTTAAAAAAATAAAT